TGACCTACGCATTAAATATGCAGGAAAGTTAAACAGCAGATATAGGTATATAGAAAAGGCAGACGAAACGAAATACTGGCGATGGCGCCGACAGGTTACAGTAGAGTCATTAAAGCTAAATCCCCACCCCATTCATTTCCACACCCAAAAGCCGCCAAGAGCAATAAAATTTCACAAAATAGCAAATAACAAATGTCTGAAAGAACAGTAAACACTGCCAATGGGTTAACCAATTAGAGCAGCTGTTATGGATAACAGTCATGTTGGTAATAATGAACAAACCCATTATTCCATTTCTTTTTTCCTTTTTGCTTAGGCTTGAAAATTGGTCAATAAAGAGTACATTTCAATTAAGCTTTGTCAAGAAAAGCATAATTTAGCAACATTTTCGGTCCTTTATACAAGAGATCAGAAAGTTTTCCTTTTGTAAGCTAGGAAATGTTTTCATTTTGGGATTGTAAAGATCACAATCATGTCTCCTTTAGTAAGTAAAGTCCTGGGAAAAACATTATTAAGCGAGGGTTTTAAAGTTTACCCACCCAATGTAAGCAACGATGTAATAACTTTCCCGGGTCCTACTTTAAAGCTTCACTGTGGCAGCTGCTGAAATGATTGCGGCGAAGTTTTCTGGAGGTCGTTTAGAGTGGAAAAGCGCCAGCTCCGAGAGAGAGAGAAATATAGGGTGGGAGGGGGAGGGAGAGGGAAGGAGCATTACGTCAGAGCCAGAAGCCATTTGGGGCTTGTCAAAATTAGCAGCCAGGAATGGTGAGGAAAACCCACGAAACCAAAGCCAAAACATACAAAAAAAGAACGAATAAAAACGAACATAATAAACGGATGAATTAGTAAAGAAATGACAAGCAACAACAACAACATGCATACAACAACTAACTGTTAACTAAGTAAGAGAAGAGTGCGCAAAAAATATACGTAGTAGTGCTAATTGGAAAACAGATACTGGGATGCAAATGAAAAGTTTAGATGAGGCAGTGTGTTTTCTTTTCATTTTCTTTGTAATGGGGGCGAGCGCAGAGAGAGTGAGAGAGAGAGGGTAAGACAGAGAGAGAGAGAGAGAGGGAAAGGTAATAGAGAACTGCAACAAAACAAATGCAAGTGGAGCAAGGGGAATAGAATTAAAACTGGATAAAGTTATGCTTATTATCCCCGCCCCTCTTTCGCACCTTTCCAATTGACATTTGTTTTGTTGCCGTTTTGCATTTGTATATGTGTTAATTGTGCCCGCTGTGTGTGTGTAGGTGTAAGTGTGTGTGTGCCTGGTTGGATATGAAAACTCACCTGACGCTTTCCGTTCTTGTTCCTCTCTTCTTCTTCTCCGGGTCTCAAAAGTGAGATAAAAACTACAACCGCTTTTCCCTTGCCTGTTTTTCAGTTATCAAAAAAGATACAGTTTTTGAACTACACTTCAACTATAACAACAACGAAAGGTCTATGAAAAAATCAATATTCGTTCTCGGCCAACTTTTTTTCAGCTTTTCTTTTACAACTTGTGTAATTTGTGTGCTCGTTCTAATTCGTTCACTTATTCTCTCGCTCTCGCGCGCACGCACAACCACACACGCCCGCTTTTCGCGATTGCCAGTAATTTAAATATCCGGGGATCAATTTCTTGTAATTTCTCCAGCTGCTTTGAAGTCTTTAATCTCGGTCGAAGTTGCAACGAAAATGTGAAGTGTGACCAAGCTGGAGCGAAGAGGAATGTCAACAGTATGCCCGTTGTTCAAGATGCTAGAGTAAAAACCCTTTTAAAATATACCAACATTTTAATTTGCTCCGTTAATTTGCACAGACAATTACGAATAAATTAATACACAATTTATAAATAAGCCCTGCATTAATGTTTAATTCCATAGTTTAATCTTGATAATGTTAATAATTTCCGTTCTAGCAGGTTTTATTTAAAGTAATATATATATGATATAGTCAAACGATTTTGATTAAAGAACAAGACGTCTGATCAAACTTTATCTGCGTGCAGCCAAAATATAAGCAATATTTTATTTTTAAACAGCGCCTTAATCACATCATCGCATGATTTTGTTTTAAGTGTACAAATAAAAGGTTTTTCAAAACTCTTGGTATTTTTTTGTTTTCCCAGTACGGTCTGCTTAAACAGCTGCCTTATGAGATAGAGAGTCATCAAACATGCCTTCGGCTTTCTTAATTAAATGTTGAGAGATAAATAGCATATAAACATATTAAGTGCTGGAATTCTGACAACCCAAACGCTGATTTCACAGAACAAAGGAAACATCAGCCAGTAAGCAAGTTTAAATTTCCCTTAAACACGTGCCTAAGTTGCGTTTACTAAAAGATAATCGATTTGCAGGTATGCCGCGACGCTATCAAAAAGCTAAAAATTTGGCCAAATTTAGTGCCCAGCTTAGGACCAAAACCAGCGATAATGGTTTCGAATCCAGTATGGAATTTCCGGAGGATGAAGAGGCAGACGATGAGATTGGACCAGAGCAGCATTTGCAACGGACTCTGGAGAACGCGCCGCATTTTTCCTACCCGGCTATGAACACTGGAATGCTGGGCCAAATACTCCATCAACAGGACGAGGATGAGGCGCAGGACTTTCCCAACTGCTCGGTCACGGTGCCACTTCCAATTTTCTTGGCCCAAGATAGTCAGACTCCTCGCGTGGAGGTCTGCGCCCAAAGACCCCATGCCTACGACGAATGGATGCGTCAATTGCACTTCTATAAAGCTAGTTTTGATAAGGGCACCAAAAGGATGAAACAGCGTGAGAAGAAAAAGGAGCAGGAGATCCATGATGTGAGCCTATATGAGATGGCCGAGCATATTGCCCGGCAGGAAAACGCCTTCTTCCGGGACAGCTACGATTACTACTACACAGGCGGAAATCTCAACACGTTGACACTTGAAGGTGGCGGCCCCCTGGCCATGCATGTCAGTGGTGATAAGCTTAGGGATCTGCACTTTTCAGAGATTAATAGTGAAGCAGAATTGTGGCATCCACTGCATTCGGCTAAAATGGATGAGCCCTCCAGCGAACTCTTTCAACTCCTTCCCCTGAAGAGTTGGCGGGGAAATAGTGATCAAATGCTCCTGGCACGCTTCCTAAACGAAGTGTCCCTGTACGAGTTGAAACGCAGAGAGGATATGGAAGACGAAAGCTACGAATTGATTTGCCATAGCAAGTTGAGCAGCAAAGAAGTTCCGTTCCTTAGTGCCTCACAATCGTTGGGTAATGCTAATACCTTGGCCTTGGCTTACCAGGATCGCTCTTTATGTTTTCTGGACCTTGTGACCCAACAGGATATAGCCAAACATGATGTTTGCTTGTTCAAAGGATTGAAACAAACCACGAGTACTTGGGCTCAGCTAATGCCAGCTTGCGGTAGCACCTTCCATTATCTCTCACAGCCTGTTCTGTTTACCGTGGATGCGAGATGCGATCAGCCACTTAATCCGTGCTTTGCCAGCAGCCTTCACTCTAAGAACTGCGAGATTTTCTCTTGCATGGCCAGGAGTGTGAATCCCAATCTTTTGTACGTGGCTAGCAATCACAAACTCCACTGTTTGGACATAAGATGTTTGGGTAAAAAACTGGCTGATCGTGCTGTGGTTACTTGGACGCATCAAATGACCTATCCACCCAGTTTTATGGACACATGCGACAACGCCGGCAGTGAGTATATTGCTCTAGCTGGAGTTCTTCCCACAGATCAGCGTATTTGTCAGCTGAAAGGACATAAGGCCAAAAGTGTGGATGAAATGTTCTCGCCCGCTATCCCATTTGCTCCTCCGAGCTTAAACGAAGCTTTAACAGATGCTCGGTTGAGAGGTTTTGTTGATGTTTATGCTGATCTTACGGAACGAGTGAAGACCTGCTTAACAGGACTCCGCTTTCATCGGTTGGAGGAGGCCAGTGACAAAGCTTTTGCTCAGCTCTTGACAGCCAACAGCTTGGGTGATGTCTTCTGCCAAAGACTAACGCTCAGAGACGAAGAGGAGCACGTCCAAGAGATCAGAACTGGACTTCACACCACCGAGGCTATCCGCTACTATGCAAATCTCGTCCACGAGCGCGTTCAACGCCAAAACCTCCGCTGCACCGAAGTCCAGTCAATACCTGAAATAAGAGATATCTTTCGAGAAAGCGCCAAGAGATCGCAACCAGATGAAAAACCTCTTATCGTAGAGGAAATTGAAATAGATTATGGTATAAAGGATACAGATGATGAGAGCCAAAGCTCCCAAGAACCAGAGACGTCGAAGCCCAAAAGCAAAGTTAAAGAGAAGCCTGGAAAAAAACCAAAAAAAAAACTAAAGCAAAAACACAAAAATATCAATCCGAAAAAAGTGAATTTAAAAAAGCACAAGGGCATCAGTCGTGGATCCTGGCAAAAGTCAACTTACCAGATGTCTCACTACACGGACATGATGTCGATCCGATTGCTGGATGTCTGGGATATGGAGGAATACGACAACACGCGAGATGTTACCAAGGAAATGTTACAAGAGCGGTTGCAGGATGAGCAACTAGAGCCGGAACGCCGCATGGCCAATTGGTTAAACCAACTGTCTAGCCAGCCAGAGGAGGCGGAGGGAAATCCCGACCTGGTGCCGGGAACCAATCTTCCCAAGCTGTTTGGCGCCACTACAGCGGAGTTCTCAGAAGTTGTAGTCCTTGGGGCTAACGGGCTTATAAAAGAGCAACTATTAAGTCCCAAAAAGGAACCGTCTGTGGTGACGCACGAGCATTCTATTTTAATGCCTGGCCAGAATACTATAATCGAGTGCGATTTTAATCCGCCGCCTGCTAAGAAACTCAAAACTAAATTTGTAAAGGGATTCTAGCTTAAGTTAAGGTTTAAATCTAGATTTATGTGAAGTACCTTATATTTAATTTTATTATATAGTACAGTGATTTTCTGTTTTATTTGATAAAATAAAATAAAAATATAATAATAAAATTTAATTTCTGCCTTTGTCTGCCGTCATAATAAGAATAAAAAGCCTTTGACATCGGATTAGACAGCTGAGCTTCAAACTTGCTTATATCTTAAACACTGCTGCTGATTATATAAGTAAACAATTATCTGTACTCGCCATTTTCTATTGATTGCGGATATATCTCCTTCCAGATCGGGTTCATAAGCTGGATTTACGATTCCCAATATTGGCTCGACCACAAAACGATCGTTTCTGCGTTTAAGGGCGTATCCTATGGATGGGTTCGCCATGTTGGTTTTATTCTGATCTTGCAGCATTATAGATTGCCTTTTATTTTCTTGACCACCACACTACCGTTTTGAGAGCGACACTGATTTCAACTGATTTTCAATCAATTTGGGCAGTTTGCGTTTATTTGATTCGATCTATCTATTACTCGTCGCCGCTCAGTGGGGCGTAAACGAACCAAGGGTGACACTTCCATAGGAGTGCCCATAGATAGAATACATAATATAGCATGAGCTTAGCTCAGTGGCTTATCTAAAACAAAATACTCATTTATATTTAAGTTGATTACCCCTCCATAGGATGCCAAAAAAAAAAATTGATGTTCATATGTCAAATTTAATTTTTAATTAAGAAAAAGAATATTTTTTAATATGTCATTTTTTTAAGTTCGTAATAGGTATAACTCAAGAATTAGTCTTAAAAAATAATTTTGACAACATAAGAAGCTTTGGTACCGCAGTCATTTAACAGCAAATCTAATTAAAATTATAAGAATAAATTAAATTCTGAAGAAAAATATGTTATCTTGCTTTATAATTGCTTAATTTTTTTAATGAAATCATAACATTTAATGTTATTATTCTGATTTCTGACCTTATAAACTCAATGTTTTTTCTCAAGACGTGACTGATAACGCATCCTATATAAGTAAGTGAAACGCGAGAAGCTTCTCAAACAGTTTTGGCAAAAACATGAAGGTCTATATAGCGGGAATCGCGGTTCTGGCCTGTCTATTTTCTAAGATTACGGAAGGATCGGCGTACTTGCTGGAACCCCAGTGTTTAAAAGCAAACGAAATAGGTCCGAAGATTGCTGGAGGTGGTAATGCAAAAATATTATCCACTCCGTGGATGGTTATGGTAAAAAGTAATACGATTTGCGGCGGCACGCTCATTAGCTCTAGTAAGTATTTAGATTAGTGATTGATTTTATTTTTGGTTGAGTCGATACCTTCTTAATATTTTGCAGAATTTGTTCTGACGGCAGCGCATTGCATATCAAATGAGTATACGTATGTGCATTAATTTTTTTTTTCCTAGATAATCCACTAACATCTTTTGCAGGACGGTTAGCTTGGGCGAATACTCCCTTAACAACCCCGGGCTATACTGCAGAAATGGTACATGCATACCACAGGGCCATGAAGTCGAGGTCGATAAAAAAATTGTTCACGCTGAATATCCCAAAGCTGGATCCCTTAAATATGATATAGCCCTGCTTCGCATGGTCAGAGATGTGCTGTTTTCTGGTAATTTAATGGGATAGCCAATAAGGTACTCCTGAACTAAAAATTCTTTCTTTAGGCCTTGTCAGGCCAATTTGCCTCATCGTCAACGAGCAAGTGGAAACTGTTTCATCATTTAACATCACCGGCTGGGGTGCTACAAAAAAAAGTGAACTCAGCGAAATTCTAAAGACCGCCACTGTAGATTACACCGATCGTAGCAATTGCAACAAAAAATTTAGTTCAGAGGTTGATGAATCCCAGATATGTACCTTCAGTGAGACAAGTGACTCTTGTTTGGGGGACTCTGGGGGTCCTTTGAGCGCAGAGATAGTTTACAACGGAAATATTCTGACAGTGCTGTTCGGTATTATAAGCTATGGGGCTTCGACCTGCGACAGCGTTTCTGTTAACACAAATGTGACGCATTATATGGACTGGATCGTCGGTGCTATACAACAGTATGGTAGAAAAAATTACTGCTAAATGGATGATGTACCTACCACATGTAACTTAAAAAATTATAAATAAATAAATTCCAGCTGTATTAATGTAATAAAAAGACTTTGTTTCAAATTTATTCCTAAGTAAATTTTAATATATATTCCTTTAATATGTTCTCCAATCATTTAATCAACAATTTGTTTCAAGCTCCACCCACAAACAAATCAAGCGCCTGCGCCTTCGGAAAAGAGGGCGGGGCAATATGTTTCGGCAACTTTGTAGCCAAAACATTTCAGCAACATACTGTTGAGTTGGAATCCTTTGTTGCAATTCCTTTTAGTTAAATTAAAAAAATTGTACGAGCAGGTTGTGTTCCTTTCGTGTTCCATATATGTTTTGGTTTTTGGTTAATGTTTTTTCAAAGAAAGTTTAAAAACATAAAACTTAACTTACTTTCCGGATTATACTTCAGAGTTCCCTGTAAGTTTTATTTAATCAAACATTTTGTAATTTGTAATTGTAATTTTTTAAAACGATTTATTTTAAATATATCTTTGAACCAAAAAAAAAAAAACAAATTCTCAAGTCGGTAAATGAAGTGAGGAAAACTAGATCTATTAAAAAGTTGTTCATTGGAACATTTTTGCTTCTGATCAGATCAAAATTCATGTTAAACTATATAAAGAATTTAAGCAGCGGGTTTAGTCAAGAGTAATCTTTTCGAAATTATAATAAAATAACCTTTATTAGAGGTTATCTTCCCATATGGGTGCAATAATAGTTTTTGTAAAAAAAGCCAACATTTTTTTACGTATTATTATTGATAAGAAAAATTATATCTGTTATCCACTGTAACTCTGTGCCTCTTTATCCAGTGGATCCCGCCCCTGGGCAGAAGCAAAACAAGCTACTAACGTATACGTGGACAAGTGCGTTTGGTCTCTGTCTCTCTCTCTCTCTTTGTTCCCCCCCACTGTTAAATGCTCCAAACCAAACCAAACGGACACAGCGACACGATCTTTTACTCTCTCTCCAGCTCTCCCACGTGTGATTAAGATTGGCGCACTACACTACCATCCCTCTCTCTCTCAGTCGCTCTCCAAAGAAAATTTTTTTTTAATTCGGGTGCGTTCAAAAAATTGTACCCAAAGTAATTCAGTTTTGAATAAAACCAAATTTTGTATTTAAAAAATTTGTTTATTTATTTTATTTCTTAAAATTATAACATAGTCATAAATTAATGTTTTTAAATATGATTATGTAAGATCTATAAGAACTGTTTTGAATAAAAATTGTTTTTATTATGTGCCAGGATTAAAGGCTGGACAGCCTTTAAAATGCATGTAGCAACATGACTATTTCTAGGAATCAACTATTAATTGTAATATGAATTAAGGGAGGATTTTTTTCAGTGTTCGAGTCGAGAGTAGTAAACCAACGACTGCGCCGACGCTTCCAGCATTTCTCTGCCGCACTTCGATCGGAACGGACGTGGTTTCACTCCTCTCGCCGTTTGCTCGCGTGTTTTTGTTGTTCGCCCATTGCATCCGCCCCCGCCCTTCCGCCGGAACCAAGTGATATCCGTCTGTGGAAGACAAAAGGTATATTGCAAACATCAGATCGAAAATCGTGTGTTTGGCTTAGCGTAAATATCTAGAAAATGTGCTCATTAAGAAATAAAATTCGAGAAATCAAAAGAAAGCGTGTACTTTGCCATTGCTGTCGTGTCTCTTTCATTCATATTCAGTCCACGCATACACATACGCCCCAAGAAAACTGAACGAAAAAAGAGGAAAAAGAGAGCTTATCGCTTGAAGTCCATAGAAATAAAAAATATCGCCGGGTGGTTTCTAGTACTTGTTATTGTTGCTGTTCGACTAATCACGATCGGTTCAATAATTAGCACTGCTTATTCGGAAAAGAAGGAAAACTCCTGACGTGTTGCTCAGGGCTAGATTTTCCAAAACATTTAGCGCCGGTCTGTAAATTGGAACTCTTACGGTAAACTTCGTACCACCAGTTCACTGAACCTTTCATAAAAGACATACAAAAAAAAACAAAAAAGATACTTTCGGAAAAGAAGAAGCTGGATCGCCCCAACAGGTTTTAAGCCCAAAAAATAAAAAAATGGACGCTCGCTACAGTGAACTGATATAGGCTGAGGATGTTTACATACTTTAACTATTATTAAAAAAATTTGCTTTATTCGTTAAATTATTCATTTTTAGGAGCAATTTTTGTATGTTATAAGCTCATAATTTGTATTTGCCTTTGTCGTTATCAGTAATACTTACATTATTTTAGAATACAAAAAATATATATTTGCACTTTTAACTAAATTTAAATAGCAGAGATTTCACTTAGTAAAGTGTTCACTTTATAAAGAAAAAGAAGCAGAAACAAAAGAGAGCAATTGATGAGGAAGATCAAGAGATGGTAATGTCGATTTCACGTATGTAATTGAGGCTTGACCATTGCCTTTCCATTAGTGAAAGTTTTCCAACTATATTAAGTCCCACCATATTTTATTTTTTGTATGCCTTTTTAGGTTTTTTTTTGCGGCTATTTGAATTTATTTTGTGTTTCTTTTTATTTGGGTGACCTAGGCGCTTTCAAAACTTTCATTTAACCAGAAACACCCACAAACATCCCTTTGGAATTTACCACGACGGACATTACGCATACGCTACCATGTACGCGCAATAATTTCGTTTTTGGCTTTGGTTTTGGATTGCATAATCCCCTCCAGCTGGTTGAGATGGTCAAATCTGGTTGGTCGAAATCAGCTCCCCACTCTGCAATGAATTGCACATTTGCATAATGACTAATTTTTGCCTTTCGCGCATCCCATTCGCAATCGCTGCTTGCCCCTCGCCACCCATTCAATTTCAACTTTACACTGTTGAGCAAAAATGTGTTACACCTTTCCGGGTAATTGTTTTAAATTCAATATTTAATGCTTGTGCAATGTTTTTATGATGATTAAGGCGAAGATGATGGAGAGCAGATGATAGTGAAGATGAATCTGGGTGTATAAAAGTGGCCAACATTAATCCAAGACAAGCATTGGTGGTTTGGTTTAGTTTCGAGTTGGTGGGTATTGTTTTTTTACATTCCAGGGATATAAACTTTAGTCAAACATTAAAGATCAGGGGTCTGGATTGGTTCCTATTAATTTATTGATGGAATATTATATTCTGAAAAAGGATTTGAATTGTTTTAAAACTTAAAAGCAGTTTTGTTATTTTTATTTTAACAAACAGTTAATCTGAATGTCAAATCATCGTGAATTTTGTGAATGACATATTAAAATGATAATATTAACATATTTCTCAATATAAATTGCGTATAGTATAAATATTTTACAATATTCCGTAAGATGACTGTGTTTTATAGTATTATCAACCATTGACCCATTTACACTTCTTGTAGTCGAGTGTTTTAACACGTTCTTCTTTTTTTTTTTTGAAAGTCTTATTAATAATCAAGTTTCCTTTTATTTCTTGCAGCCATGTTGAAATCCATTCTCGTTTTGTCGTGCCTTCTGGTGGTGGCCATCAGCCATGTCAGCGGCGATGATCTGAAAGTGGAGGTGATCAGTACTCCGGAGGTGTGTGATCAAAAGTCGAAATCTGGCGATTCCCTCACCATGCATTATACCGGAACATTGCAGGCCGATGGCAAGAAGTTCGACTCAAGGTGAGTTTTGTGTTATGAAAAATAACTTGTATAAACATAAACATTAAATTGTTTTGTTACTTTATAGCAAGCAAGCGACAGTCTTGATAGTTAAATTTAATTATTATTCTACATTACCAAAAAATTTCGGAAAATGTCAAAGTTCAGAATGAATTATTTTAAAGCTGATTTCGACCGTAATCTCCATACGCACACACTCACTTCCATTGGAGATTAACATACTCGCAGATACATGTGTTCCCCGCATGGGATTAAAGCTGCTGGTGCTGCATAGTCAGTCTGTCGTCACGGCGGCTCATTGCCGTAAATTAGACGCCAACTGATAAGCGATCTCATTGTTGCATTGTCGCTGCTGTTGTTTTTTGTTTTTGTTGCTGGTGCTGCTGGTGCATTTTCCATGCCTGAATGCGCCCCTTCTTCTTCCAACCCATCTCAATCTCAGTTTTCCCGCTTTTTGTTTCGATTTCTGTGGGTTATATGTGTGTATAGTGACGTGGCCCTAGAATTTTGGCTTCATTAAGCAAAGAATCATTTTCCGGTGAAAAGAGATGACCACGCGCTTGGTTATAACCTTAAATCATTAATTAGTAGGACGTGTTTCTTTAACAAACTAATAATAATATAATAAGTTTTGAACTCGTTTTTGATTTTTTTTGAAAGAAATTAAAATAAGTATTAAGCTATTTCTTGAGGTATATTCCCAATGAAGCTTCCCCCTTCAACGTTTTTTCTCAACAACGTTCTCATTTTTAACCCTTTTGAAGGGCGCAATAAATCCTGTAAGTGAAAGCAACAGTGAAATTTTAGCTACAAGACCAAAGCTATAAGCAAAAGCAGAAAAGGCAATTAAACCCTCTTGAAGGATTAAATTACTTCACATGTGCGAAAAATGAACTTCCTTGTTGCCCATCATCCTAAACAAAATCTTTTCGGTGCGTGTAAGCGTTTGGCAAGCGCTAAAATTCATTATCAGGCATTTTATTAATATCACCTGAGGCAAAAACTTGTTGATAAGGGACAGAAACTAGATTAACTAAACTGATATATTGCCTGATGAGTGTATATAAATGTAGCATTAGTTAAATGATATGTGGGTGTATCAATCCACCCTTTTACTCACTCTGCTCTTACTTATCAAATTTAGATTTAATTTTATGACCAGAAAATTGGTTCTGTCGTAGGGGAAATGATTTTATAATCGTTTGACTAACCCCAGTCTCTTTGAATTACCCCAGCTTAACCCATTTTGTCATATGCTAAAACGGAAAACATTTCGTTTTCCCATCCATCATTGGACATTTTTGTGTAGCAAAATTTGTCCTTTTGCTTGTGGGCCTTACCTTGAGTTTTGGTAGACAATTTTTGGTTGCACACTGAGTAGCAAATTATGTGGAAGTTGTATCCCCTCT